TGTTCCAATTCATTCTTCTAATTACTCTACATTATTTTTCCTCCTCCTCCTCCTCTTCTTCTTCTTCCTCCTCCTCCTCTTCATTTTTGTACATTCTTTATCCTTCTGCATTCTTTACTCTTCCAACCTTTTTTCTTCCACTATTGCAGATTCCCAAGCATATATAAATTCATCCATTAACAATGTTGTTAATAACAACAACAACAACACAAGGAAAATTCTCAGGAACGCAGGCATTCTTTGAAGATACCTAGCAAAACGTATCAACTAGTTTGTAGCCAACCGCAGCTACAGCTGTGAGGAGGCCCCCCATTTCTTAAAGGGGAAGGAAGCTGCAAAGGTTCTAAAGGGAAGAAACTAAACCAATGAGAGATCTAAATGAAAGACAAAGAATAGGGCTGGAGAGATGACTCAGAGGTTAAGAGCACTGACTGCTCTTCCAAAGGTCCTGAGTTCAATTCCCAGCAACCACATGGTGGCTCACAACCATCTCTAATGAGATCTGGTGCCCTCTTCTGGCATGCAAGCAAACATGGAAGGAATGTTGTATACATAATAAATAAATAAATAAATCTTTAAAAAAAAAAAAAGAAAGACAAAGAATATATGTGCTATTTTGTATTTCTGAAGCATGATTAATAATATCTGGACATGGTTAATCAGTTAGGTGCTATTGACCCCTTGAAGGACTGAGATATAACAGGGACAGACACCTGCAATACCTCCCCAGTTCATCATAAGAGGTGGGGTGGGTGGTTTTGGTCCTCCACTGGGTTATGGATATTTGTCACGGTGTAGGGGGGCTGGATACCAGTTGTTATTGGTTACAGTCAGGAGGAAAGTTGAAGAAAGAAGATTAGATTCAGAGTTCTTGTTTTGAAAAGAACAAAGGGGATATAGGTATGATAGGATAAAAGGGTAGATTATTGAATCTGCTCTGAAAAGTAAAAAGGGAGGATATAGATATGATAAAATAAAAGGGGAGAATATTGAATCTACTTTTAAAACACTAGTTTTAAATGTTTTACATTGGATTGGATTTTTGTATATTGTATGTAAATTTTGTATATTGATTCAAATTTGAGATTAATTTTGTTGGAACATACTGTCCATACATTTCTACGCTTGTTCAAGGTGTTGTACTTATACAACTCATTTAACAATGTCGTGCAAATTTCTAGTCCTTGCAAATTATTATTATCAACTGTTTAGGATAATAAGGAAATGCATGTGAGTAGTGAATCACTTATTAAAATAGAACTTGGTAGTCACAGGTATGTTTTCAAAGACAAACAAAGATATATTTTAGATAGACAAGTCATCTCCAAACACTTCAGAGATCTACAGAATATGGCATTTAAGACATTTTAATAGCATAGGCTCTTTTTTATGGCAATGAGACATGTTTGCTCCTGGCAGCACCGATCTACTTCAGAGAAGATAATGAGTATCAAGGAAACTCCACATGGAATTTACTTTCTTTGTGGCAAAGTAAGTCACTAGGCGAGAAAATGCCCTGTGCCACTGTAGCCGGCTCCAAATCCCATTCTTATCAAATGTCGACCTTTCCACATTGATTCCCAGCTTAGTGGCTGTGAACAGAGCCATGGGTACTGTTTGCTCCATTGGTCAATATCGGTGTGACCCTGGCAAGTCACAGCTTCTTGGTTCTCCACATATAAGGTGAATCCTATCTCATAGTTGACGGAGAATGCCTAAGTGTCTGGCGGCAGCAAGAGCCATATAGGCACTGCCACATTCCTGCAGCCAGAGCCAGCGCTGCCCACCTGTGGGCATTCACCCAGAGAGCCGGAGGTGTTTACTGCTGCCTCATTAGTAGCTTGCCTTTTACAGAAATGATAGTATTAGATCAATTCTTGAAAGCAAAGCATGGCCAAATATTAGGGAACTGGGTACTTGAAATGGGTCCTGGAATAATGGGGGGGAAGAGACTTTCCGGAGATACCTTTTCTATGTTACAATTTGTTTTGTTTTCCTGTTCACTTAGACTTTAAACGATGGGACCCGCTTAGCTAGTGGGGCCTCCTTTCAAGCTGTATCCTTCTTGTCATTTTCAAGCTAGACTTGTGGTCCCTAAGGCTCCAGCATCCCATACCACCAGAAAACCAGGAGCATCTTGCTTCGAAAGTCCACACACACCCATCTGAGTTGTTCATAGGTTCAAGTTCAACCTGGGTAACACAGCCAAATCCCATTTTTAAAATAGGAGAGAGGGATAATGAGAGAGAGGGAAGCGGAAATGGACAGTACACGTTGTGGGGCAATCGCCTGCAACATTTAGATCACAGGTGTTAACCTCCTACTCTGATCATTGTGACACGGTCTTGGCCAAGAATTAACCTGAGGCGATTTACTCAACCTCATACGTACCAATGTCAGAGGACAGTGGCCTCTCATCAGTGTTATTCCTTATGGCAACAGCTGCTTGGAAATGACCTGCATCTCTACTGATACCGAGCTGGTTAAAAAAAAAATAATTGTATTCTTACAAAATCGAATATAATTCAGCCATAAATTGGTACAGGAAAGCTTGCTGCGGGCTGCTGAAGAGAGATCTTCAGGATATCTTATGTGGAAATAAAATTATGACGCGGCCCTCAAGGATGCTATAATTTGAGTAAATAGCTAAAAGAAATGCATGCACATCTATATTGTCGGATGGTGATAAGTACAGGAGACCAAGAGAATTTTTTTTTAAGAGAACTAGGGGGGTGTGGAACAGGGAAGTGAGGAAGGAGACGAACCGGAGCATCCTTCAGGAGCCACAGAGGCACAACCACTGGACTCTTTCCAGAGGTGTGGGCAGGGCTAACAAGAAAAGATAGGAACATGGTGGGCAAGTTTCAGAAGCGCATAGCTGCTGTCCGAGGCCTCAAGAGACAAGAGGAATTAGTGAACCCAGGTCCAAAGAAAGCATTTGCTCAGGGACCTCTTCTAGTGCCTCCTAACGAGAAACCAGTGATGTCGCGTGGCAGGCCCGGTTGTCTCAGCCGCCTTCCTGCTGAGCCTCTGGAGCTGACTCTGGCAGCTGCAGTACAGAGCGCACACTGGGAACAGTTCACGAATACAAAACGTGAAAAGTAGTCAACTTTTGTTAACACACAAAATAATTAAAATAATGAATAATAATAATAAAATTAATACTTAACAAGGATAATATTTTAAAACCCGCATGAGAAGAATTGACATTTCCAAGACCTTTCTCCAAGTCTAATATTTCTTTGAATATTAGACTTTCGCCTTTCACCAAGTCTCAGTCCATGGCGCCACCTAGTGTCCAGGAGAAGCTTCACATGCTCAGTTCCACTTTGCCTGCTTCCAAGTCTGTTGGCAGGCAAGCCATTCTCACTGCGCCAATTCGACCCACTTGGGAATGATCTTCTCCCATAAACGGGGAAAATATTTTGAAACTTAAAATACTTGGAGTCTTTTATTTTCTTTAAAACAATAGTGGAAAATTACCTCCATTCAGTTTTGGACTGCTTCATTATGGTTTCTCTGGGAGGACATGTTTCAAACTGCTTTCTTCAGCACCTGTGACCCACCACTAGCCATTCTGTGAGCTGCGGCTGACTTTGCCCCTCCCCATTTGCTTGTTCTTAATACAGCGATTCTCAATCCTGGCTGCAAAATACTCACATGGACGAGCTCCTGCCGGAGATCTCATTTCTACTGGTTTGCAGAGGGGCTGTTAAAAGCTAAAATACACAGTAGCTTTAAGGGGCCTGGAGCCTTACTTGTGCTAAGAGGGCAGCCGGTTGGGTACGCACCCTGCAGGTAGGCTCAGTGGTACCTGCCCCGCCCTCCCGGGAGGCCCCTGTAAAATGACGTTCTGGACCCCGTGCTCTCGTTCCTGCCTCACCCTTGGCTCTGCCTCCTCTTCTGCTGTCACATCTACCCGTTATTTCCTGGCCTGCCTGAGGGCTCTTCCTAGAAGACTTGCTTCCTCCTCATTCCCAATGTTAGCATCTCTGACGACTTTAAAAACAACTGTGATCCTTTTTCATAACAGAAAAATAAATGATAGATTTTGTTTTGTTTTGGCATAGCGTCTCACGACGTGCCCCAGGCTAGTTTGAAACGCTCCATCTTCTTGCCTCAAGTTCTGGGATTACAGACCATCACGCCCAGCATAGACTATTCCTTTTAACTTACCAGTTTTTAGCTGTCAGAAAGTATGATAGTTCTGTGATGGATAGGTTAAACCCACTTCATAATGGGAGTGTGGCCAAAGTGAGGAGACAGCCTGCGAAATGGGGGAAAATCTTTTCCAGCTACGCATGTGATAGAGGGTTATTATCTAGATTACACAAAGAACAGAAAAAATTACACCCCATAGAACTAACTGCCAAGCAATAAATGGGCCAATGAACTGAACAGGCAGTTTATGGAAAAAAAGAGAAGAATGCCAATAAATATTTTAAATATAGTATTTTATAAAATATTTTGTATTTTATTATATCAAGCTATATTACAGGGATACAGAAATAAAAGCAATATGGTACTGGCACAAAAACAGACCTGTAGACCGATGGAAAGCAACAGAAGATCCAAATACAAGCGCACATAGTTACAGCCCTCTCACATTTGACAGTGATGCCAAAAATGCACACTCGAGAAAAGACGGCATCGTCAACAAACGGTGCAGGGCAACTGGATGTCCACGTGCAGAAGGATGAAGTTAGGTCCATGTTCATAAACCTGCACAGAAATCAACTAAATGGATCGGAGATCTTCACGTGAAATCTGAAATGCCAAAATGGCTCAAAGAGCACACAGAGAGACAAATATCGCCTGTTCCTTCTCATATGAGAATCCCAGCATCAAATCTTGGTCTGTGCTTCACTTGGAGAACAAGTAGTGATGGAGGTGGGTCTTGTAATAATAAAGAAACTGCCTCGGCCCTCATAGGACAGAAAATTAGGTAGGCGGAGTAGACAGAAGAGGATGCTGGGAAAAAGAAGCTTAGTCGAGGAAGTCGCCATGATGCTCCCACTCCAGACAGACGCAGGTTAAGATCCTCTCTGGTAAGCCAGCTCATGGGCTACACAGAATATTAGAAATGGGTTAGAACAATATGTAAGAGCTAACCAATAAGAAACTGGAACTAGCCGGGCCAGGCAATGTTTGAAAGAATACAGTTTCCGTGTAATTATTTCTGGGTATAAACTAGCCATGCGGGCGGCCGGGTGCCGGGGACGCAGCCCTGCCGCTCCTATTTCAACAAAGTAGCTCTAGAAAACTAGAGATGGGCCACTGAGGGTGGACCTCAAGGGAGGGGGGTAATAAAATATGGCTAAAATAAAAGTAGAGAGGGAGAATAGTAGAAGGTGAAAGGTTAAGCAAAAGGGGGTGGGGCTATGGGGAAATGAGTAAGCAAGGGAAGAGTTAACCAAAATTAAGGGTGTATAAAAAGGCTGTATGGAAACCTATGATCTTTAAGTCCCAGTAAAAAATATATATACACATATGTATATATGTGTATATATATATATAATTAAAGGGGCTAGTAGAACACACGTGACATGATAGAAGAGGAGGGAATACTGGGGGTATTACGTATAGGTGGAGGGGGTGGGAAAGAGGGGGTGGATAAGATATGAGTTAACCAAAACTGAGGACATATTTGATAAAGATATATGAATCACTGCAAATGTGTATGCTAATTTAAACTTTTCTTTTTTTAAAGAAACAGTCTGGATCAGTGGTGAAGCTGCTCCCCCAAAGACACGGGTTACTAAACAAAAATGTCAGTGCCGAGCATAGATCATTACCCTATAAGCTGCTACTGGTGAGGGAGGCCCCCAAATGACGCAAGCTATTGCCATTGCTCTTGGTTGCCCGCCAGAATCCGATGGGAAGACCATATTGCTGAATTGCTGAAGACACCCACGCTTTGTTTGCAGGACACAGAGAAATGAACCTTGCATTGACTGGGCCACTCTCTCCCCACTAGCTGGCTTTCACGGTGATGGAACAGGCTACGTAGGCTGCTGGCGGAGAAAAGATAGCAGCAGTCTTACCCAGCACTGGATCCTGCATGCTGCAATATCAACCTTCCAGATAAGGCACGCCCACTGGTGCAATAGTGACCTTATTTTTATAGGAGTGTGGTGGTTTGATTAAGAAACATCCTGTACAGGCTTGGCATCTGAATACTTGGCCCCCGGTTGTGTTGTGCAGTTGGGAGGTTTCGGAGGTATGGCCCTGCTGGGGGAAGTATGTCAATAGGGGCAGACTTGGTGAGTTTATAACTTCAGCCCACTTCCAGCTCCGCCTTCCACCTCCACCGCTCAGCTTCCTGCTTAGGCTGCCACGTCTGCCTGCTGCCACCCCCCCCCCCCCCGTGATGGACTCTTATGCCTCTGGAACTGGAACCCCAAATAACTCTTCTATACGTTGCTTGGTCCTGTGTTCTAAGATAGCAAAGAACAGTAACTTAGACGGGGATAACCAAAGACCTTCTAAATGGATTGGAGGCCTGCTGCGCAAGACGGATTTCATGCCTGGTCCCATCCGTGAGCCTGATGAAAAGCATGTCTGGGGAGGTCATCTGCCCTAGAAGTGAACCTACGTGTCTTCTAAATGATCATGTTGTCAAACTGCCTTCTAAATATTTACGTTTATACTCACAGACCTGTGCAGCTCTCAACCTTGGCCGGAGAAGCTTCCTTTTGCAGTAGTGGTCAGTGAAGAGAGTCAAGACTGGTCAAAGAGTTGAGAATAAGTGACTCTGGGTGGCCAGCCACTGAGAGGACCTTGGCATCAACCTCCCGCATCCAAGGCTTAGGGGACACTGAGGAAGGGGAAACAGAAGGGTTGCGAGCGCTGAAGGATGAGGAGGAGAACTGGGAAGTGACGACATGCACAAGACCCACGTGAGATCAAGCCAGTCGAAACTCCAGCATGAGGAGACTGCTGAGACCACAACCCAATTGGAAGCATAATTGGCAGTTGATGGATGAGGGAGGGAAAGTTACTCTCCTATGGGAATGCGGTCACTGGTAGGTTTCCCATGCCCCAGTAGATGACCCAACACCCATGAGCATATGGAAGTACTAACTGTACTCAGTGGGTCATTAAATTAAATAGGAAAAAAAGACATGATGTTGGGAGGTACTTATGGTGGGTGTTCATGGAAAGAGCTGGAGGGAAGGAGACTCAAAATACATTGTATATACCCATGATATTTCAAAGAATCGATAAACAATAGTGTTTTAAAAATAATATTATAATCTGTAGCTTGAGGTGACTTCACTAACTAGAAGTATAAGAATTGAAAGAAATTTCATTTACTCGGTAATAAATGCCTTATACTAAATCATGTCAGTGGAAAAAAAATCTAGTTTCATGAAATAGAAAGCTATTGTTTAAATTTGCAATTGTTTGACAGCAAAAATGATTTGCCACTGAAATCATTAAATGATTAACTCTGCTTTAATAGTTCCGTGGTCAGTCATGGTCAGCTTTTTAAGAACGTGGTTTCTTTGTGAGATGCACTTTATTTTTGTGACTCTGTGCGGGGGGGGGGGGGGGGGAGTCACGAGTGCAGCAGCCTGCAGGAGCTACAGGACTGTGAAGCTGGAGCTCCGGGCCCTTGAGAACTGCTCCACAAGGCTTCGGGGAACCAGGCCCGGTCCTCTGAAAAGCGGTCAAGTGTTCTTAATTGCGAAGGCTTGTGATTGCTTGCATCCCCACCTTCTCTCTCTTTCTATCTCTTTCTCTGTGTTTACAGAAATGATTCATTACTTTTTCATTTCTAAGAATTTTGTCACTTTTTTTTATTGATTTTGACTCCATTTTTAAGATGACCTATAATAAAAATGACTGCACAGCCCGACTTTGATGGATACTGCACTAAGGCAGTGTGCTCTCACACCATTGAGCACAGACCTCAGCAGAGACACAAACGTCCCCTGCGAAGGGACATCAGGGCTGCCGTCGGCAGTGTCCCACAGGACTGCTTTCACTTCTTGCGGTTAGCCTTTGGAGTCAAGACCTGTGGACTTCCTCGAGATCTGTGTACCTTGGCTCTGAGCATCGGCACCCACAGGCTGGCTCTCAGAAACTGCTGTTTAAGGCTGGGGAGCGCGCAGGGATCTGATCAGCCTGTTGCCTGCGCTTAGGAAGCCATGCCCTCCGTTCTATGCTAGGGGAAGACAAATCTAGGGACATGCAAGATCCAGTTCCTTCCTACACAGCAATTTTCTTCCTAGTGACAACTTTGGAAGAGCTTGTTTTTTGTTAAGAAAGGCAACATTTTTTCCAGGGGCGGTCATGTAAATTTGTAATCCCAACACAAGAGGCAGAAGGGAGAGGACCACATTCAAGGTTACCTCGGCTACAAGAGACCCACAACAAAACAAAGAAAAACTGTAATTAGAATCCTCACGATCGTGACTGGGGATATGAGGACACCACACTGCACTGACATATAAGACTCTATGTATTATGTAAATGTTTCCTTCAGACACTGTCTTTGAAGGGCTCTAGAAGGCCCGAGCATGGCAAACATGGCGCCAGCAGGTTTTGCCTTTTCCCCTTCTCCCCTTGCTAAACTGTCAGATTACATTCCTAAACTCCTAGGTCTGTTCCCTGTTTGGCCACCGACTCATGCTTGAGACTGATCACCAAGGTTCAACATCAAGATCCAGCATTCAAAATTCCTTACTTTGACTAACCTAATTAAAATACCCAATCAGAGCTTACCAACATGGCCTCGCCCATCCTAACACAGACCTCTCTTTTTTCGCTCTTAAAGTCAACACTTGCAAAGCTATTTGCTGCCGTGTCTGCTCAATTCAGATCCAGCCCCTTTGTCTCTTTTCTTGCTCACTAAAGGATCTCTGTGTTGGGTTTGTACTAAGAAACTGGTGTTTGGATGTGATTTGTGCCTAATCGGGGTCCAGAGTAGAGCACCCAGAAGTACTTGGGTCCATTCAGTCTTAGAAAACTGAAAAGTTAGTCCTTTCTTTGTTTGGAGAATAACTTTCCCTCACCAAGTTTTGCTGTAGTTTTTACGTGGCATCACGAGGACTTTTCATGCATTTTCTGATCTCCTTCCAAATCTACTCTAAGGGTCAGATAAGTAGAGATGTTCAACAGCAGACCAAAACCTAACAAACCTACCCAGCCTTCATACTGTGGCTTCAGTTTCCCCAAAAGTCTGATCTTTGCTGATTGAGCATTTAGGAAAAAATGTCTTGAGTATGTGCACTGTGTAATTTCATTTCAACTGAGGAATTCTAAATTCTTACTTACGGAAAGGGTGGTTATGTTTGTGCTAGGCTGTATTACAGAAAATGAAGTGCAACTTCTTTCTTCCCTTTTCTTTCTCTCAGAAACATAAAACAAAATTAAAAACTCTACGTGGAGAGGTGAGCTGGCTCAGTGATTGAAGTCACCCTTGGCCTCTGTAGGGCCTCATGAAGCGTGGGGCCACTGCTCTGCTCTGCTAATGGTAATTCAAGGGCTTCTAGCCCCTTACTCGAGATGACTTCCTTATACTAAGACCCAGGGAGTCCATAAGTTCTGCTCACTGATGCCACTGTAAGTACTGTGCCTGCAGCAGGATTCCATCGTCTGATCCCCGGGGGGGGGGGGGGGGGGGGGGGGGGGGGGCCT